CTGAAAGCAGGGTGTGGAGAAGCCCAGGACAGTGAGTCTGGTCTGCAGTCACCTTACCCAGCGGCAGGGACGCCTGGAGATGCCCGAGGTGACAGATGCACCACGAGCTTGCACCGGGAAAACATCTGCAGGCACGACAAGCGTCCCGTCCTGACACAGATGCTGTGGAAGGTGGCAGACACCCTGGGCAGGGGTTGGAATCCGGGAGAGGCTCCCAGAATGCTCAGAGCTCCACTTAGAGAGGCTTCGATGAGATTAAAGGGAGGCGCCATTTTCTGTGCTACTAAATGCAATTTTACATCTGCTTCCCTGGAAACCTGCGCTTTGACTTCAGTCCTTTTTCGTATTTTTTTTTATATCTTCTTGTTATTGTTTTTCTGCTTCATTCTTGCCCTCATCTGTAGGCGGTGGGAGACTGAAGGACAAAGGGTTCTCTTCCTGGCGCTCCCCCTTTGTCCCCAACCGTGGGACGCCTGTGCCTGCCTCAGTTTATCTCCCTGAGGGCCCTGTGCGAAGTCCCCGCATGCAGCAAGCAGAGGCGCCTGGGCCCATGACCCTGGGGCCAGCGTACCTGGGTCCAGACTTGGGTCCTGTAGACAGGCTGTGGACCTGGATGCTGCCTCCTCCTTGCTGTGCGATTTCCGTGCTGTGTATGCAACACACAGGTGCAGTCGCACCTCAACAACGGCTGCACAAATTACAACCGCACTCTATGAGAAGGCGTGATCAGGGCACCCATGAGAAATCATTTTCAAACGAAATATTTTAAGCCAGACAAAACCATCAGCTAGCGCGAAGAGGCAGCAAAGCACAGAGCCACCAGAAAACGATGCCTCGGTCCCAGCCCCAGCCTGTTACCACCTGGCTGGTGACTCCAGGAAAGCCCCCTGATCTCGCTGCACTTCGGTGTCCTCATAGAGAAAGTGAGCTAGTCCTTGTAATCGCTTAAAACTGTGCCTGGCAAACCGTCAGTGTCCTCCAAGTGTTTATGTCAAAACGTTTTTAAAGAAAGCAGCCCCCAAGGTAGCAGATAAAGCCTCCACCACTAGGAAGTCATGGCTCAACCAGGCTCTGGTCTGTTACGCTTCCTATGTAAGCCAATTTTTTAAGTACTAAAAGGATTTTTAAGGAATGAGGCCTCCCGGGCTAGAGCAACTTTTATTCTTTGATAGTTTATACTTGCTAAAATTGTGATCCTAAAAGATTTGGCCTTTCTGTCAGCGGAGGCAAAGGGAACCGCGCAGCTCTGGCCAGGCGGACAAGGTCGTCTAAAGCCAGGTGTGGGACTCTGACATGCAGCGCTGAAACAGAGCGGCTGGTTCCCATAAACCGAGCAACACGGCCCTCGGTGCAGTCTTGAAAGGGACCGGCGGAGGCATGGCCCGTGTGCAGTAGCAGGAGGAGCCCGGTGTGCAGAACTGGGCCAGAAACAGCACGCAGTGGCTCTCTTGCCTGCCGACGAGCACCGGACACCGCGCTCCCGGCTTCGAGCTCACTAATTCTGCAGCCGTGCAAGCAGAGATGGCAGGAGGTGGGCCCTGCTGGGATCCACCCTTCCCCTCCCTGCATGCTGAGGCTTCGTGGGGTGACAACCCACCCACGCAGACAAGCTGCTCCTCCCGAGAGCTGCCAGCATCCCACCACTTCTGTGCACGTATATTTGAGACTGGCACACGGAATGGGCTCCCATTTGGACGGACGTCCATTTTCCCTTACTAATTTGAACAAAGATTTTTAAAGACAAAGCCCATCAAACATTAGATAAGCATTTTAAGTTAATGGGTCGTGTCGTCCTATTTGCCCACAAACTCAGGGACTGTCATCTGATGTCCTATTTTCGCAGCAACATCAATTATTAATATGTATATTTTTGCTGACAGAGGACCTTGCTGCAAATGTAGGTTTCGTTATCCTGTTCTGGGTCATTAACGGTGGAAAGCTTGTAAATATAATGGTTTATTCACATGGGAAGCCTTCATTAAGATGCATTATTCTACAGCTGATGTACTGCAGTGCATAGTATATTTTTGTGTTCTCTAGCTGCCTTTAATATTCGCAGTTTTAAATGAGTTGCTGTGTATGTGGTGAGTTAACAAATATAAATTCCACATGACCAGAGTTGCTAAAGAGGAAAAGATGTGTTAGCCGGAAGGAAACACTGCTCATTAACATAGGGCTTACATATGCTGTAACCTTTATATTCAAAAACAACTAGAGAAGAAAGACAAACGACCCAAGTGTGGTTCTGCCAGAGAAGGTCTACATCCAGAAGCGTGGCTGAGTGCATGCTATCAGTGGCACAGCGTGGTGACACAGTGCGCAGGGGACCCATGGAACCAGAAGCCTTATGAACACAGAATGGCTAGGGAAGGACTTCCATTCTGAACCTCCCTTCCTGCTTCTGTTCAGCGGGATCCTCACGCCCTTGTTGCTACCTTCAGAGAAGGGTGTGAACATCAACAAGGAGATCTGGGATTCGAACTCACACCATCCCCAGAGCCATCCCCATGTCGAACAGGAAACTCCTTGGAGAGCTGAATATTTCCTCCTCCACACATACGTCATGGAAGTGTTACAGAGTCTGCTGGACACCTCTTCTAGAGCTATGGTCAGGACACAGATGAGTCGCCCACTCTTCTTTCATTTGGGGGATGGAAGGAGAAAGACCCAGCTCAGGTACAGCTGTGCATGCCTCTGAAGGGAATTTACAGATGGCACCAGGAGCATGTTGCTGGGGGAGTTAGTGGGGCCCACGGAATGCGTAGGAATGGCAGAGAAGCATGAACTCTGTGTGAGACTTCCAAACAATAATACACCTTCTCTTCACAGGCAGACAAATTTGGGGCATTTGGGGCACAGATCCATCTTAATATCTTCATAAAAGCAGTCGAGTTTAAAATAGCCCTTGGGAGCGTCCAACAAAGTCTGAATTCCCGATTTCTATTTCATACATTTGAAATGTAAACACTGAGAATGAAAGCCATTACTGGAAGATATAAGGATTGGATTTTTATCTAAGTGATGAAATGAGAGAAATTTCTTCTCCTGATTTTGACACAAAACACACAGAAGCCAGCCATGGTGGCACAGGCCTGTCATCTCAACACTCAGGAGGCTGAGGCAGGAGGATTGCCACGAGTTCAAAACCAGCCTGGACCACATAGTGAGTCCGAGGCCACCCTGGACCACGTAGCAAGACCCTGTCTCAAAAAAAAAAAACAAAGTCATGTCTTTGAGCACCGGAATAGTGAGGTTATTTATGCCATTTTGTCCTAACACTGTTCTTGAAAGTGATCTTACAACCCTCACTCAGTATTCACTTTTCCAGTATATGAAGTTTTCCTCTCCCCTCATACTGAACCTAGAAAATCGTCTCATGTTCTTAAATTGTCTACTGTGTGTTTATAAAGTGCTATGCGTGTGGCTTTCTTTTCTTTTTGACTTGGCCTTTGCCTGGGGTGGACTCCGAATTCTCATTGCATCTGTGCAGTGCCACCCTCCTTCCCCACGGGCTGCAGGCCCCGAGTCGGTGCACGTGTCTGAGTACGAGCTCACTCTGATCCTCATCTGGTCTGCTTGGAATTCATGTCAGCACACAACCCGCATTGACTCTTTCGTCTTCTTTCTGAGTGATTGATTTAAATTTGTAGTTTTGCTCACGTCTTTGGTTAAGTCTTGAAAGTTGCCACATTCTCGTTTCAAGGCTTCTGGAGTGGACTTTACTTTTGTTCTCATATCCCAAAGCCTCTGTACACCACAGCCCCCCGCCTCCCTGGGTGTCACCCCCGGGTCGCTGCCACAGCCTGGCACAATGGCAGCCATCATGGCAGTTACTCCCAGAGCTCAGGGTTCCGTCTGAGAGGAGAACTGTCCTCCAGCTCGGAGCCGTGATACCAGGCACCATAAACCAAGGCTTCTCTTCCTTCTCCAAGCCCTTTCCCTCTGTCTATCCATGCCCTCGGCACTGTGATTGATTACCTTGCTCCCTACCATTATCCACCAATTTCGTTTCTTTGGTGATTTGGAGAATAGGATTTATGTCTGAAGGACTTTGTATTTTCTCTTACCACACTGAGCCATGGATCGGCATGTGGAGCGGATACTTTGTAGCCAACCACTTGTTGACTTGCTGGCCACTGGGTTTTGAGGGAGAAGAAATAGCAGAGGAGATGCCTGGACTTGGCTGTAGAATTTTCCTCTTTGGACATCTGCAGCAGTAGACAGATGGTTTCGAGTGGATTTTGGTGTCATTTTCTCAAAATCAGAGCATCCCAACTCTTTTCACCAGGTTTTGCTCCAAATGCTTCCCTCCTGTGTTCTGTCTTCTCACTGACCAAGAAGATTTAGAAAAGCTTTGCCTTCTGCAATGTGAAGGAACTTTTTAAGGCTTATGGGATGTGTCAGTTAGCTTTCTGTCACTATAAGGAAACACAGAAGAGAATCGACTTTTAAAAGTAAAAGGTTTATTTCTTGATGAAAAAACTAAGATTTGGAGTTCCAGTCCACGGTCGACTGGCCATGCTGACTTTTGGCAAGGCGGCTCACGGTGGCAGGAGCACGTGTTGCAGCACAACCACTTACCTCCCGGCCAGGGAGCAAAACAAGGCTGAGACGGGGCTCAGGTCCCACAAGCCCCTTCAGGGCCATGCCCGCAGTGACCTAAAGACCTCCCACTAGGGCCCACCTCTCGAAGATTCAACCACTGCCTAAGGGCACCACGTTGAGGATCAGTCCTTTAACACAGGGGCTTCTAGGGACATTCAAGATCCAAACTATAGCCTTGAATATGTGTTTTCCAGGCCAAGCACCCCCTGAGTCTGGGAAATCTTCCCTTGCCACAGTGGCGAGTCCATTCTTCAAACGCTGCTGCCAGATCTGATCTTGTGTTCCGCATGTCCTTCTCACTACCAGAGAAAATACGATCATACTCGGTTCCCTGCTGACGGTTTTCACCCGCTCTGTAACTCTTCTCATCTCAGACTTCCTGTTGATGTTTTCAGAACCCCCCTCCTGGCTTTGATGATGTGAGCCCTGCAATAAAGCAGGCTGAAAGGGTGGACCGTCTACGGAGTGAGGTGCAGATGAAGCATGAGGAGCGCTACCGGGAAGCCCTGGTTATGATCAAGGACGACCTGAGGCTGATCGAAGGCCCAGACATCAAGGAGAACCTTCAGGACCAGATCCGGCACTGGTTCATAGAGTGCAGGTGACCTTGAGCCACATGGCAGGTGGGGTGGAGCGGGTCCTTGGTGTCCTCTTCCCTGGCCCAGCTTGTCCTTCGGTTGAAGCACAGAAGCACCCAGAGTAGAACCATGAGGTTTCTTAGCTCCATTTTAGAAATGTGAAACACCAAGGCTAAGGATTCAGAAATGGAGTTTTTAGTGAAGCATTTTCTTGACCTGTTGTTGAAAGATAGGGTCCGTGTGATCCACACAGAGTGGGTGTGGCCACAGCCACAGAGTGGAAGAGCACCACAGACAGGTCTGTCTGAAAGCGCAGGGAGGGCAGCAACCAGGTCACACCACCCTCCCGCCCCCAGACCTGCAGGCTGCTGCCAGGAGTGCTCAGCGCTGGGCCCTCTGTCCTCACCCTGGAGGTGGCTGCAGACTCCCAGGGCTGGACACCCGGCCCCAATCCCCTGAGATGATGGGAATTCTGGTGACAAAGCCCAGGCCACTCGTGTATCCAGGGCCTTCTTTACCACTCCTAAGTGAAGTGCTAAGTGACACAAGCTTTGCTGAAAGGGCTGGTGTGGAGAGGTGCTCTTCACGGGCCACACCTTAGCAGCAGCACTTCTGGGTCCCCTGGGTAGCACCACTTCCAAGTCTGTCTTACTTCAGGAGTGAAGGGCAGAGGGCGGCTTGACCTGATCAGTCCCAAGGGAGACGAAGGACACGTGGCCTGCTGTCCAGTGGGTATTGTGTGTCGCCACAGGCCCCAAGCTAACCAATGCTGGCCAGCTCATCAGAGCAGGAAATTTAATGTCAGCAACAGAGAAATCAGACTTGTTCTCAGAAGTGAAAGATTTTATGTCTGGGGTGGGCAGGGCTCTGAGCTGCTTCCACAGACCCCCGTCCTCAGGTGTGACCCCACCTGGTCACTCACTTATACAGAGGAGAATCTGGGGGAAGTGATGGCCTCTTATCTCCTTCCAGCTTTAAGCCCTATCTACACCGTATTCGTGGGCTGGGCAGAGGATCCTGCCCACTGGTCTTCCCTGCTGGACACTGATTGTGGCCCTGAGAGACGGCCCATTTCACCTCTCTGTATGTCAGCTTTCTCACCTGTGACTGAGGGCAGGAATCACCCCGATTTTGTGGGGTGTCCAGAGGAGGTGTGTGCCTGGGCCTCTGCCTGGGTACCTCGGCCCTGTCAGTGCCTTGCTTGGCACTGAGGAGCTGGTGCTGCGCAAATCCAGCGCGAGGTGCAAGCAGAGGCGTGGTTTTCATACTTAACCAACTCTGTAATTAGCTCTGGAGAAAACAGTCCCAGGATGGCTTTGTGCAACTGCGATCACAGAGACTTAGGGAGGAAGGCATTAGAACTGCATCCTCGGATCAGTGCATGTTAACATCACACAAACCTTCACTTTGGCAGTTAATGGGGATCATATACACTGTGGCCATGAATCTCTGATACCAGAAACCTCCCCTCTTTGCTCATGTGTCAGAGAAGAGGTATTTGAAAATATGTTTTCTATAAATGAAATGGTTCTTTACTTTTATATGGACATTTTTAAGTCCAATATGTCATTAAGTGACAAAACAAGGCTGAAACACCGTGTTCAATTATAGCCCCAAATAAGTTAAAATATACGTGTACAGCAGACCCCTTGTCTGGGGAGTACATTTCCCAACCCCTAGTATTTGCCTGAAACCACAGATAGTACTGGACCCTGTCATAATAAGTTTTTTCCCTGTACCTATAGACCTACAGAACAAAGCATAATATGTAAGTTAGGGGCAGAAAGAGAGTAACAACAAGAAGAAGATAGAATAAGCACAGTACTGTATTGCAATAAAATTACCAGTGTCACTACCCTTGAGCTTTGGGGACATTATTAGGTAAGGTAAAGGGTACTGAACATAAGCACTTCCGTACTGAGAAAATTAGTCTGATAACACTGACAGCTACCACACAAGGAATGGGCAGGTAGTGTGTGCAGTGTGGGTGAACGGATCCCAGCAGGCTGGAACACAGCTCGGGATTTCTCCCCACTCTTCCCAGTTGCACACAGTGTGAAACTGTTCATTTCTGGAATTCTGCACTAAAGTTTTCAGACCGCAGTTGACAGCAAGTAAGTAAAGCTAAAACCACAGAAAAGAGAACAGCAGGTAAAGGAGGGGCATTGCCTGCACAAGCACATCTAACCTATTCAACGTGTGTGCACACGTTTGGGTTAGGCACTGGGAGCCAGGAGCATGGCCATCCTGGGGCAGGAGGGGCAGGCTTACGGTTTACTTTACATCCCTCGGGAAGTCTCTTGTTTCAGTAAGTGTTATTTTTATAATGAAAACCTCAATTAAAAATCTATTCAAGGAAAACGAAAGAAAGGTGATCAGTTTGGGTCCGTTTTAAATTTTTCCTTCACCCTGATCTCAGGGCAGTAGTTGAAGGTGATCCCTCCATCACCCTCTGGGACGTGGCTTGTGGTCCAGGACACGGCAGATGGGGCTGGCGTCAGAGTGAGTGGACCCCCGCCTGAGGTGCTGGGGGGTTGCAGGAAACCTGTGGTCTCTAGAAGACATGACTGGCCAGTCCCTGGGGCACACGTCCTGGTGTCCCCAACCCCACAGTCTGGAGACGGATCAAAGGCGTCCTCGTGGGTGCGCTGTGTGGAATTCACAAAATTCGCTTGTGTGGTACCAGTAAGCGCGGCGCCATTGAGCTATGTAACCAGCCCTAAAAATTCCTCTTTTTGAAGTAACTCATAAGGTCGAGGACTAATTTATTTTCATAATTGGATTACATTTATCTGATTGACTTTCATAAAAAAAATCCTTCTCCTTGCTTTTTTAAGTCAAAGCCAAATAAAAAGCAAATATTGTCTTTTGGAACGTGAAACGTGATCAGTCCTCAGGATAAATTCCAATCAGACACACAAAGACTGCGCCACAAACCGTGAGAAGGCACAAGTAATATGTGTGCCCCAACGCAGAATACTTGTTCCCAAATCATTTTATGGGTGTGCATCATCACCAGAAGGGCCTATGTCAAATTTTAAGTTATTTTTAGATGCAGTATTTTTCCCAGTGTTAGAAGTAATACATCCTGAAAGTAGAGAATTCGCAAGACAAAATATAAAGAAAAAAATTAAATTACCTACACTTTTCAACACATCAGATAGCTACTGTCAAAGGTTGTGATAAATTTCCTTCTAGGCCTTTTCTCTCATATATACTTTCAGTCACAGTTTTATGAATCCTTCCTCTGATCTTTAAAACTTGGACACTGAACTTTCCCATGTCCTGAAAGTGTTTTCCAGAAGATGTTTTTAGTGATTACTTGGCATTCAGTTACATGGATGTGCTAGATAATTGGCTATAGTCTTTTAAATATTTTGCCAGGTTGATAAAAGAAAAATGCTATCTCAGTGATCTTTTAATTCACATTAATTTTATTAATGGGGGTGAAGAATCATTTTGAATTTTGTTTTGTGTTAAATGGACTGTCTGTGAGCTACTCTGGCATTTATTTGTTTTGTGGTGTTTTGTGACTTCTTTACGTGCGCTCTGAAATGTAGATGTATACTATGTAATGCAGAATAGATCCTAAAGCTCTCTGACATATTATGGCAAGAAGGGCATCCCAGGCTATCATTTTACTAACTGGCCTGTGGGATAAGAGAAAGGGAGGCAGCGAGGGAAACCAGGTCGCCCCAGGAGCCCCCCTCCCACTTCTACCCCACCCCCACCCCTGTGCACCCCTGCTTGGTGCCTCCCATGGGTGTCACCTCTCTGAGCCTCACCCTGTCTTCATCTGTGAGAGGCAGACAGTACAATATCAGCTGCCCACAGTGGCAGTAGAGATTAAATGAAATGATGCAAATACCGTGCCTGGGCCTGCAAGGTTCTTGTTGAGTTTTTGAATTTTGTAGCTATTTTTCCTATTTTGAGTGACATTTTCTCCAGATATTTTCCATCACGAGCAGTTATATACTGTTACATAATTCGTGCCTTCACACAGTAAGCTCTGGAGTTGGTTCCCAGAGTTCTCCGGGCCGTCTCCGGGGTTTGCTTGACTGCGTCTGGTCCAGGGGTGCGTGCGGGGAGACTTCAACACCATGCTGACTGTCCCGGCCTCCTGGCTCCCTGCTGCCTGCAGCCCAGGGAGGCCCTGGGCCCTCTGTGGCCCCTCACCTTGCATGAGTACCCTGGGGGCCTGGAATCCCCCGGGGGGTGTGGCGGTGGCGCGCATTCTTCTAGCACAGGAGGAACTTTGGTCAGTGATCGTAATTTCAGAAATATGGTGTCTGTGGTAAGTGCTTCAGTTCCTCATCCAGCATCACTGCCATCCTTGACTTCACCTTTGTCCCGCTCCTGCTCCGAGTCGTGACTCCTGTCCCAGCCTCGCCACCCTGCAGTTAGAACATGATGGGCACAGTGTGTATTTGGTAATCAAAATGACGAAACTAAAGTTTATGGAACACGGTCTCTACCAAGATTTCTAAGGGTTTTACACAGCCTCTGACCCGGCCCCTGCATTAGCTTGCTAGGAAATAAACTGCCACAAACTTGGCAGCTTAAAGCGAATTCTGTTCTGGAAGTCAGAAGTCTGAAATCAAGGTGTCAGCAGGCTGTGCTCCCCCAGGAGCTCTGGAGGAGACCCTGTCCCCGCCTCTGGCAGCCCCGGTGGCTGCCAGCATCCCTTGGCTGTGACCCTGCACCGGTCTGGTCTGCCTTGGCGGTTACACCACCTTGGCCCGCTGTGTGTGCCTGTGAGCTCCCCTGCATTTCTCTCAAAGGACACTTCAGATAGCATTGAGGGCGCACCAGGCAATCCAGGGCAGTCTCCTTTGCTGCTGCCGAGACCATCTTTCCATGGAGATACCACGCACAGGCTCCAGGGACTAGGACTCGGTATCTGTTTTATTTTTTGTACTGGGAATTGAACCCAGGGCCTTTGCACTGTGCTACATCCCCAGCCCTTTTTACTTTTTTGTTTTGAGAGAGGCTCTCTTGCTATGTCTCTAAATTGCCCAGGCTG